ACCTGTACCAAATTACTAAGTAAAAAAATATACATTTACGGCGTTTTTTACGTGAAAAAAGTCCCTTGGTAAAAACCGCTACGAGTAATGGTTTTCGAGATATTTGGAATAGAAATTATCAATACCTGTCATCACTGACATAAATTAAACATGTTGACTAAATAGTTATTAGAGTCAAATCATAAATTTGAAATGTTTTTGTGCCAAATGTTCAACAGAAACTGTTTTATCATCATTTTTTTGTAGAAAAATTTATGATTAATTTTAAAAAATTAAATTTTCCCAAATTATTATTTCAGTGAACTAACTATCTACTCTACGTGTTTATTTTTCGTCAATAATGACAGATATTTACTATTTCCATTCTAAATATCTTAATAACGGTTGCTCCTAGCGATTTTTACAAAGAGATATTTTTTACGTAAAAAATGATGAGATGTATATTTTTTCACTTGGTAGTTTTATACAGGTACGGACCAAAAGTTATTACGCTTCAAAATAGTTAAAACACACGTAGGTGGCGCCCTCTACTAGTAGTAGTCATATTGACATCAAAATCAAATTTATCATGTCTAAAAACTCCCAGACACCAATTTTCATCCAAATATTGACGTTATTTCAGAAACTATTTAGAAAAAATCGAAATAAAAATGAAACTTCTACACACTGTATCTCCGAAACTAAGCATTTTAGGACATACATTTATACGACCTTTTTTACTTATTTTTATCTGCAGAATATACTGCCGAAGTTTCCGGAATACAGTTCGGACCACCCTGTATAACAAATACTTCGTATTTTTGCTGTCTTCGAGTTACTAGATTGCCATAGCGATTCACTACTATGCCTGTCATTAGCGTAACTAGCAATTTATCCCGGGGTGGGCCTGGGGGGACCTTGGGCGTTTGTTTTTTTAAAAATGAAAAATAATTTTAAAAAAACACATTTTTTGAATAAAATTTTAGAGGAATTTCTCTATCAATAAATTTCATAGACTTGTGTCAAACCGTGTTCCCGTAGATTACTTAAAAACCTACAAATTTTCTAAAAAAATAAAAATTAACACAATAAATAATATTAACTAAACAAAACTATAAGCAAATAAAAATTAATACGTAGCCAAGAGTCATAATTCAGGATTTCTCTGGGGGGTGCCTAGCTGTACCTGGGGGAGGGGGGGGCTCCCCCGAGCACTCCTGTAGTTACGCCAATGATGCCTGTAAAGGCCGACTCAAGGTTTCGCTTGTTCAGGATGGTATAGTATTTACCAAAATTTAATGTAATGTACCATGTATTTACCATTGGGTATAAACCGGATGCAAATACCGGGTAGTTACTCAAATTTCAATATACCGGATGTTTCTCCATCACTGACTATACATATACATAACCTGTTATAAATCGTTATACAATCGTAATTAATTTATCTATTGAGATGTATAAAAGATATTCTATGTATAGTAGTATATCTTATTTATAGATGTATAAAATTTAATATGGCGCCTATAAGAAAACAAAGTTGATGAAGGCGGTCAAAAGGCGAAACGTCGGATGACAAATCTGAAACCACTATAAAAAATAATATTAATGTTAAACTTATTATTCTTTCTCTTTTATTTAAAATTTTAACAAAAATAATAATAAAGAAAATAGCTTGTTAGTATGAAACACTAAAGCAAAATACAGGGTTATAATCATAATATATGTTTACAGTCAAATTAACAATATTTCTTTAAGCTCACGTAATTGTAATTAACTATTTATACTGACCCGTCAGTGACATTGTACGACAATTGTACCTACATTGTGTACAAAGTGAAATTTATTTAATCCTGTTATTTTGTTACGTTCGGCAAACTATGCGCCGAATTTCTATTATGTAAAACGCGCTACATTAATTTCATTTGAACGAGAATTTTGATCAAAAATTCACTGGAAAATTGCTAGTTCAACAAATGTAGTTTAGCGGATAGCGGTTTTCCATTGAACGGTTTAAACGAAAATTGTAAATTTTTCACCAAACACTGGCACAAAAAAAGAATGCTTTTTTTGAAATGGTGAAAAAGGGAAATATTGTATTGTCGATATAAAAATGGCACGATTGAAAAGATATTTTTTTTGATGTCGCTTTTCAAAGGAAGTAGGCAATGTGTTTGTGCATGAATATTTTCTGTTCAGAAATTTTATTGCAATTGTAACAGATATTTTACTTTTATGCAAAATATTTTTTGCGATGTATACATAAATAAAATATTTTTGCAAATTCAACTAACTTATTGCAAATACTTTAAATTCTGAAAGCTGGTAGGTATATCCCCACTTAAACATAAATATGTAAAAAATATATCTAATATATAAAATTCTCAGATTACAGTTTTAGTTACCATACTCAAAACTGATTTTGATGAAATTTTATATGTATATTCAGTAGGTCTGAGAATAGTTTTCTAGTTTTTATACCCCTAATAAGTGATAAGGGTGGTCCACCCCAATCTCTTTGTATTTCTTGGATAACATTTTTTATTTTTATTTTTTTATATGGCATTAAAAAATACATACAACCCTAAATTTTCACCCCTCTACCATCAACCCCTATTTTTTTATACCGATATTAGTAATTCAATAATTTTCGCATCATCTTTCACGTCGCTCCATGCCCTCTTCTACTTATACAGGGTGTCCCAGAAATACGTGCAAGTATTTTAAGGGGTGGTACATCTCGATAAAATAAACATATTTTCTCTTTATCGTTTTTCAAATATGTCCAAAATAACGGAGTTATTTTACTTTGAAAATTTCCAAAAAACATGATTTGTTAATATTTTGAGAACGACTGGATCTTTTCTGGATTTCCTTTCTTGTAAATTTAATCTAATACCTACGTTGCCATATTATCAAGAAATTATGTTTTTAACTAAAAACAAAAAAAAAATCGATTTAAAATAATTTTTTTTCGCGAAAAATAATTTTTTTTCGCGAAAAAAACCTCTTTGGCGTGTTTCTGGGGTTGAATTATACTACCAGTTAAAATACTTGCACTTATTTCTGGGACACCCTTGCCTTGGTCCGAATCGTATTCCGGAAACTTCGGCAGAATATTCTGCAGATAAAAATAAGTAAAAAAGTTTATATAAATGTATGTCCTAAAATGCTTAGTTTCGGAGAAACAGGGTGTAGAAGTTTCATTTTTACTTCGATTTTTTCCAAATAATTTCTGAAGTAACGTAAATATTTGGATGGAAATTGGTGTCTGAGAGTTTTTTAACATGAGAAATTTGATTTTGATGTCAATATGGTCCCTACTTGTAGAGGGCGCCACCTACATATTTTTAACGGGTTTGAAGAGTATATCTTTTAGTCCGTACCTGTATAAAACTACTGAGTAAAAAATATACATTTACGACATTTTTTACATATAAAAGGTCTCTTGGGAAAAATCGCTACGAGTAATGGTTCTTGAGATATTTAGAGTTGAAATTATCAATACTTGTCATCAAAACTAAATAGTTTTAGACTCAAATCATAAATTTGAAATGTTTTTGTGCCAAAAGTTCATCAGAAACTGTTTTATCATCATTTCTTCGCAGAAAACTTATGAGTAATTTAAAAAAAATAAAAATTTCCCGAATGTATAATTTCAGTCAAATAACTATCCACTCAACGTGTTTATTTTTTGTCAATAATGACATGTATTGACCATTTCCATTCTAAGTATCTTAAGAACGGTTACTCGTAGCGATTTTTACCAAGAGACATTTTTTACGTAAAAAGTCACGGAAATGTATATTTTTTCACTCAGTACCTTTATACCAGTACGGACGAAAAGTTATTACTAAAACACATGTAGGTGGCGCGAGTCATATTGACATCAAAATAAAATTTCTCATGCCAAAAAACTCCCAGATGCCAATTTTCATCCAAATATTGACGTTGCTTCAGAAATTGTTTGGAAAAAATCGAAATAAAAATGAAACTTCTACACCCTGTATTTCCGAAACTACGCATTTTTGGACGTACATTTATAGGAACTTTTTTACTTATTTTTATCTGCAGAATATACTGCCGAAGTTTCCGAAATACAGTTTGGACCACCCTGTATATCACATCCTCACACACTGACACTGACAGTAAGTTAGTAATTTTCTTCTACTAAAATATTCATAGGAATAATTATGGCAAAACAACGGTTGCGGGGTCAGCTACTATTTTTATAAAATATATAGATTGCTGTTTGAATCGCCAGACATCCCTGTTACCATTGGGATTGTTTTATTTTCAACATTTTGTTTTAAAATAAGTATTTTAAACGTGTTTAAACACCATTACTTGTTATAAACTTGTTTAAAATAAGTAAAAACATATATTTTGAACGTATTTGGTGTGTATTTAGGTGTTTTTTTTTTGTCAACAAAAAAAAAGAAAAACCTTTCGAAAACTATTTAATAAAAACCAACTCTAATAGGAAAGGAATAGAAACAAATTAATGACCTCATTTTAGCTTGGTCTAGAGGAAAAAATCGTTCAACTCATTATAATAGAAAAAACAATGGATTTTACTTTGATAACAGAATTTCTGTGCTACAACTCGGAGAGGTACCATCTTACACTATGTTAAAACAAGTGTTTTAGACAATTTTTAAAAATAATACCGAATTTGAAGTTAAAATCTTGGTTTACAAAACAATAAAAACCGAATTAAACCATAAAAAAATGTTTTGTTTAAAATAAAAACAATAAACAGGGTTTTTTAACCCTGAGTACAATAAAAATTTCAAATCTGATATAATAATAATATGCATCTAAATGCTTCTCTATAATTAATATAATAATTAATATAGTACTTTCTTACATTAAATTTGGTTCATATTTCTCGATAATCAATTATATTGATCACCTTCACCATAACGTCAAGAATTGTTTATTAAAGTTCGATGTGTATTAAACGAGGTATTAAAGAACTGTATAGTCATAAATAATTCACATATTTCTTTTATTTTCAGATTACGTGTTTGAGGCCATCATGGTCACTAATATCGGGAAATCTGTCAATGCCGGAAGTTCCGTTGGAGTTTTCCTCGCTGGAGGAAAGTTCAGAATCGGTATGTATTTATATATTAAATATCTCCACTAACTTGCATCATAGCCGCTATCAATAATATTAACAAGTAAATTGGTTCATACATGAACCAAAAAAAAGGCATTAAATGGCCTTTCAAATAATATACAGGTTTATTTTTATTTACGCTATTCGACGCAGAATATTGTAACAAAACGATTATATTTTTAAAAATTTTAATTGATGTATGTAGGTAATCAATGAAGAACCATCAGGGTCAGGGTTGGACTGGCCATATAGTCAGGATGGCGATTGCCACCCCAATTTCAGAGAAAATTTCACACCTCTACTTTTCAACCAATAACATGCTTTAATGTTGACTAGTTACCATGGCAACTGAAAAAATTTCCGGAAATTTTTTCGAGGCGCCACGAAACTTTAGTGGAAATTTTTTGACAGTTGAAAAGGTAAACATAAGATCTACAATCATAATGTGAATGAACTACAATGTCTATATATTGAAATATTACCCATTTGAGTTTTAGCATTTGATGTAACTAAGGTTGGTAATATTTTTAATTAGGAAATATGTAAAAACATAATATAAATAGATATACCTACATATGAATTTCTTCGAAATTGCCATGTTCTAAAAAATATAGTTCTGCCGCCTTTATTTAACTAAAGCTGGTATTTTTCTATTTAACGAAATATGATGGATATATCTATATGATTTTTTTAGAATTTATTTCATGTTGAATTATCTTCAATGCCAAATCTTTAATGATATCGACTAATATAGCAAAATAATAACGAAACACATTTAGTAATTATAGGTTTTATTAATATTAAAAACACAATTATTGTAAATGTTTGTAGGCTGGCTTGAATTGGTGGTTTGAATCTGGGTATTTTCTGTTTTATTTTGCATTGTGCTCTGATCATGATTGAACTGGCTAGTACTTGATGAAATGCTCCTCATGGATTCAATCATCTGTTGATGATGTTCAGCGTCCAACTGTAAAGGCGGGTTCTCACTTGTCAGTTTCGCTGACGCAGTCTGACTGATTCAGTGATACTGAACAAATAATGAACGTCAGAACACATTTTCATGTTAAATGATCAGTAAATTCGTACTTTCAGTTAAAGTGAAAACCAGTTCTACTTTTTTCATTTTTGACTGATCATTATCGAATAATGAATAGAAACTGAAGCAACTGAAGCGTGAGAACTACATTTTCGTGATTTGTTCAGTTTACAAGTTAAAGTTAATTAATTATTTTAATATATATCTCCAAAAAAATCCTTTATGGGCATTTCGCCACTGCACTGCAAGAAAATCTACAAAATAAAATAGTTATTTTTTAAAAACTATTTAAAATATTTAAATTCAAACTATTATGAGAACACGCTTTTTAAAGCAGATATGTCTACAAAGAAACCGTTGACGTTCTGTTAAAATAGAACGTCAACGGTTTCTTGTAGACGTATCTGCTTTAAAAAAAAACGTTTTCTTCTTTTCTGATTCACCAGAATATTCTGTAATTCATTTGCTAATTGTAAACAAACTTCGCGAACACCTGGTTTCAATTTTGTTTTAACCATTTTCATGTCTGCGAAATCACCACGTTAAAATGTTTGGACCAACTGAATACTGAATGTAGCAAAACATGAAACGTGTGAATACAATCGTTGATTTTTATTTTTCATTGATAATGAATCAGTCAGACTGCGTCAGCGAAACTGACAAGTGAGAACCCGCCTTAAGTAAGGTTTGATCGACTGACTATTACTATGTCCAGTAATTTTAATGAGCTGTTGTTCACCAACTCCTTTCTTGGCCAAATTCGAAACAGCTGTTGCTCTTGCAGAATGATTGGTTATTTTAACTTTTTTAGTGTCAATTCCTATATCTGAAGCTGCTGATTTAAACCATGAAGATACAATGTTCTTACCAACTGGGCTATTCTTGTACCATCCTTTCGAATTGGGTTGATTCCAGTATGGGTTTGGTGTTAAGAATAGTCTGTCGGTTTGAATAAGATTTCCCCTTTTTCCATCAACTTTCTAAACAAGCGAACCGGACACATTTGTGGATTTTCGAAATTTCTAATCAACCATTTACTATCCGACAGTTTTTTAGAACCACCTTGTGTGGTTTTAGAGAAAAATTGGATTATATTCTATCCGACCTTTGGGTTTCCGAAATTATCAGTTTCTTTCTTTGAAGTATTGGATACAAGCAGAATGTCCTTCCTCCCTCTCCATGCCAGCTCATGTGAAACTATGTGAAAAAATTTACGCTGCAACCCATCTGGAGTATTTTCATCCCATTTCAATATTTTTTTTGTATTCGTCACTGGTTAAGGCTGAAGCACTCACTTTTCTTTTTGTTGAATCTCTCTGTAGTATTTTGCGCTTAGCATCGCGTGCAGCTCTGGCGGTCACAAATTCCACATCAGAAAATGGATTAAATTTTATTTTATATTTTTCGTAATAAATTTCTTGCAACTGCTTAGCAGTAGAGTTCCACATCACTTTGACCACACTTTCCTTATAATCTTCAAAATTTTTCTTTCATATTAAATGCGTAGTCCTCCAGTATAGTAGCCAGCTGTACTACACTCATACACTCATGAATATTATACGACTTTTCATCACAAAATTCAACAAACTGTTTCCATACACTTGATTTTGATTTTCGGGTGTTATCTGGTTTTATATTTTCAATTTCTTCTTTAATGACTTGTTGGTTTACTTTTTCCAAATCGCGACATTTCGCTATACACTTCTTACTCTACGTACAGACGTTTTAAAACTAGTAATAGCTTAATGACAGAATCGCAAACAAAAATGACAAAACACATAATATGTCAAAAACATCAATACCTTGGCCAACTTAACAAATTGAAATTATTTTAAAATGTCATGTTGGATTAATATTTTTTTTTTCAAATTTAGGTGTGAAATTTTCTTACCGAATACCACGCAAGCTTAAATTATTCCTGGAAATTTTCTTTCGGGCACGAATATTTTAGGAAAATTATCCCGAGTCGAAGACGAGAGACGAGAATTTTCAAATATTCGTGCCCCCAAAAAAATTTCCGAAAATAATTTAAGCTCTTGTGATATTATAAGTGATTATTTGGAAAGAATCGAAATAAAAATGAAACTTCTACACCATGTATCTCCGAAACTAAGCATTTTAGGACATACATTTATACGAACTTTTTTACTTATTTTTATCTGCAGAATATGCTACCGAAGTTTCCGGAATACAGTTCGGACCTCCCTGTATATCGATATTCATCAATAATTTATATCATCGTTCACATTTATTTTTCGTTATAATTTCACACAAAACAAAATAATTAGTGCCAATAAATTAAATAAATTAATGTAAGAACTGCTTTATGCAAAAAACATGTTGTTTTTCTTTACTCGAGACCGGCGCGGCGTTTTCCTCCGATATTATTTATAAACTACATGTTTTACAGCGCTTTCAGATGAAGCGGCCCGTATGCGCGGAGCGTCCGCGCGGATGTTTTTCCAATATAGTTAATCCGGACGGAGCATACGCGACCCATGTGAAATCGTTCATATACACTTATAGCGATTGCTCGAAGTCGCGGACGGTCCGTCGCGGACGCTCCGCTCCATCTGAAAACGCTGTTAAAATATATTTTTCTACTAGCGCTTTCTGATGGAGCGGAGTGTACGCGCGGATGTTTTTTCAAGATAGCTCATCCGGACAGAGCATACGCGACCCATGTGAAATTGTTCATATATATGTATAAGCTCATGGTACTTGCTCGAAGTCGCGGACGCTCGTTGCGGACGCTCCGCTCCATCTGAAAGCGCTGTTATAGTATTTATATTTAAATATCAATAATAGATAGTCACAAAGCCAAAAAAATAAGATATTTTGTTTTGTGTGAAATTATATTGATGAATATCGATATACAGGGTGGTCCGAACTATATTCCGGAAATTTTGGCAGCATATTCTGCAGATAAAAATAAGTAAAAAAGTTCGTATAAATGTATGCCCTAAAATGCTTACTTTCAGAGATACAGGGTGTAGAAGTTTCATTTTTATTTCGATTTTTTTTTAATAACCAATAATAATTTCTGAAGTAACGGCAATATTTGGATGAAAATTGGTGTCTGGGAATTTCTTGACATGCGAAATTTAATTTTGGTGTCAATATGACTCCTACTAATATAGGGCGCCACCTACATGTATTTTAACTGTTTTGAAGCGTAATAACTTTTTGTCCGTACCTGTATAAAACTACCGAGTCAATATGACTCGCGCCACCTACATGTGTTTTAGTAATAACTTTTCGTCCGTACTTGTATAAAGGTACTGAGTGAAAAAATAGACATCCCTGTGACTTTTTACGTAAAAAATATCTCTTTGTAAAAATCGCTACGAGCAACCGTTGTTAAGATATTTAGAATGGAAATAAACAATACTTGTCATTATTGACGAAAAACAACTTGTTTAGTTGAATAGATAGATATTTCACTGATATAATAAATTTAGTAAATTTTTATTTTTTTAAATTAATCATAATTTTTTCTGCAAAAAATGATGATAAAACAGTTTCTGTTGAACTTATGGCACAAAAACATTTCAAATTTATGATTTCAGTCTAATAACCATTTAGTCAACGCATGTTTCATTTATGTCAATGATGACAGATATTGATAATTTCGATTCCAAATACCTCAGGAACCGTTACTCTTGGCGATTTTTACCAAGAGACCTTTTTCACGTAAAAAATGTTGTAAATGTATATTTGTTTACTCAGTAGTTTTATACAGATACGGACGAAAAGTTATTACTCTTCAAAAATGTTAAAAAATATGTAGGTGGCGCCCTCTATAAGTAGGAGTCATATTGACATGAAAATCAAATTTCTCATGTCAAAAAAACCCCAGACACCAATTTTCATCCAAATATTGACGTTATTTCACAAATTATTTGGAAAAAATAAAAATAAAAATGAAACTTTAACACCCTGTATCTCACAAACTA